TGCAGATAACGAAAGCAGATTTGGAATCAGCGTTCCATGCACTATAAGAGGGTATACATTTCATGTGGGAACGTCACTTCGATTAAGTATCTTCCCATTGTTAGAAGCAGTGGCTCGGCAAATCTTGACTTATTGCTGAATCGTTCCGGGACCCAGCGGTTATAGCTTTGCTGCGGACAGCCTCTAAAGTTGAGAGGAGAATTATCAGCTCGTCCGAAAGCGTGTAAGGTTGGCTTACGCTTGTAATAAGAGATTTTTTTCTTGGCAGGAAGGGCATGTTGTGAGATCGGGATTGTACTACTTTCATACTTGAGTGATAAGCAACCTACCCCGTGGAAATTCTGAGTTGTTAAGTTTTGCCGATCCACTGCCTTACTTGCCGATCCACCTTAGTTTTAAGCTCAGGTTAAAGGTCTCATCCAGATGTCGCCCAAAAAGTGAAGGGGGGAAAAATCGCTCCACCTATCGTCTGTCGTTTATGATTTGTACGATATCGATCGATATACGCTATCGCACTAACTCAGCGGCATTTTCGTATCTGAGCGCCTGAAGGTGGGAAAGCTGAGAGGTGAAAGGTGAAAACTTCTTGACGTGAGGTGCTAGAAGTGACATTTATTGTAACTCCGCAGCGTGCGCCAATAGTCGCAACACTAATTCAACGCTACAACATTTGCACATACGGTCACGTACGTACCTCTGATTTCCTTCTGCAAGGTATCATTGAGTATTTCAAAATAGTTGTAGATGACTTCGTCCTTGGGAATTGGATGTCTAGCTATCCAGTTGCCACAAGCAAATTCAAAGAAATCCTCACATGGATTCGCCTAAAGTGCATCGTATTTAGATCTTGAAGGCGGATGCATCACCAACCGAAAAGTTTATGGAATTTCTAAGATTTTCCGATGCAATGTTGTATCCTTCGTCATCGCTTGATGACCCGATGCTCCTCACATTGTCTTCGTACGGTGACGTAGTGTCAAGAGTACACCAACACAGAGGCACAATAATCAGTGCCCAGCGCATCAGAGATTGGACTACTGATACAGTAATGGAAGCATTCGTATAACAGGATGATGAAAGTTAGTTGATGAAATATAATCAAACAATATACATAACACTAGGTTGCTCCGAAACTTCTTGCTGTTGATTTCGACTGTAATAGAATTACGTGAATAAAGGCTGGCAAAAATAAGGATCTGTTTGACGCAGCTTTCCTTTTTTCTCAGCAGTCAAATTTCCATTCTTTAGGTCATTCTAAAAATTGTGACGACTAGTTTGACCGCTGTCTTAGCGCATACAGGAGCATAAAACACCAAGGCATCACCTCAACGCTCAATTTAATCGCTTGCAGTGTCTGGATACTATCATGTTCTAGCGCAAAAACCATTCGAGTGGAGCTAGGAAGCCATTCCTGGAAGTGCATGCGTGT